AAGTCAACTTTATAAAAATTTTATTATTTTACAATAAACAATGTCATTGTAGATTGATGCACATTGATATCAAATATTTTAGACAGTTATTTTCTTTTATGTTATAACAATATTGATTAAAATTAATTACAAAGCCAAGTATCCTTCTTTGCAACATATTTGGGTTATATTAAAAAATATAGCATATAATCTCATATAATACAGACATATAAACCTTAATAAAAGTAAATCTGGTGTTATTTTTTATATAAGAAAAACATGAAAACATAATAAGTAATGCAGATATCACCTGTGCTGCAATAGCCACAAAATATTTATAGCTAAGGAAAATAGTATAAAAATAATTTATAATACTTTGATATTATGTTCTGCTACATATTTTTTTTTCATTAGAGCAATTTAAAATGTGGTGTATTGTTTTTGTGCAAATAAAATATTTGTAGAATGTTTGATAAACATGAATAAAGATTAAAATAATATTTTTTATCTTATATTAATTAAAAATGTATAAAATCTTTATTTTTAACAACATTGCTATGTTCTGATAGCCACATATCAAATACAAATATATAATTACATAATTCCTTTCTGTATTTCAGTATCTTGAGGTTTTACTTAAAATTTAGTAAAAATATAAAGATATTTAAAAATAATATTTTTCTGTGATTAACATAGAATACTGAAAGGAAAACTGATATTTCATTTTATTATAATACTGTTTTTTTTTAACACCTACTAGTAATCATTGGTTTTTACTTTCTATAAAGTAATACATACTATATCACATAGAACATAAGATGGCAGGTAATAGTCAATCATCTCCCACATTGACTTTACACAACTGAGTTATCTGTCTGTAAGCACTTATCTTGTTCTTCCTTTTTTTATATTTCATTATTTTTACTTTCTGATTCTATCACACCATTTTTAAAAATTTTTGTGAAGGACAGTTTTATATATATATATGTGTGTGTGTGTGTGTGAGTGTGTGGGTGTGTATTTTAAATTTTTGAATTCCAGGTACAAAAAGATGTTTTTACTGGTGATATTGCTAAGGTGAAATATTAAAGAATTTTTCTCCCTGACACTAACCCTTCCCCATCAAATATGATAATGTGACTGTTGGCTTGCACCTGCCAATCTAACTTGGTCTCCAGTGGAATAATAATTGCGCTTACAGAAAATTTTGCTGTTTGGTGGTAATATTCCAAAGTGAAAATTGAATTGTTCTGCTAGCAAGATAATCAGACCGGATGACAAAAATTAAAAAATAAAATAAACTGAAGCTGTGAAATTTAAAAAAAAAAGTAGATAAGTTGTTAAATAAACCAATGAACTTAAAGTGATATATAAGGTGTTTGAAAGAGTATAGAAAACTTGTATTTGTTGGAAAGAAGTAGAGAAACATTTAATAATTATGATAAATAGAAATAATAATAAAAACAAAATTGAAAATGTATATAAAAAAAGGTAAGGATTGGTGTAGTGGGAGGTGTCAGAGACAAAGCAGTAATGCCTGAAGATAAAAAAAAAAAAAATAAAAGTACATGCACAGACAATAAAAAAAGAAAAGAAAATGCATTTGTGCTTGCTAAGGAGAGATGAAAAAGTTTAAAGAACTGATTCCTTGCAATTCCATAAAAAAATTCTTCTTTTTTTTTTTTTTTTCTGTTTTTCTTTTTTGGAGGGTGGGGGAGGATTGATCTTTGTTGTAAGGTCTTTGTCTCTTTGTAACCAACAGAAGTAAGTCTGCTTTTTTTTCTCTTCTTTTTCATCTTTGGAGAAACGGTTAGTAAGGCAGGAAGTAAACCTGAAGCACACCTACAGGTTAGGCACTGGCCACTGTCTCCTCCTTCTCTTCTTCCTCACTCCTTCACACTATCCCCACCCCCACAAGCGTGAGGAGAAGGAAGAGGAGAAGAAACAGAAGGCAAACTGGACATAAGATTTCAGTTACAGCCAGTGGAGAGTAGTGGCCAAGGCTAAAGAAATAGAAAACTAGTAAAAATGATAAGACATTACAGTGGGCAGTGGGCATTTGTGGTAGTATGTCATAAGCTGAAACAGTGTTCCAGCGCACTAATCCAAGATAGTGGTAGCGGTGGTGGTGGTGGTGGTGGTAGTGGCCAGGCCATGTTTGGGGTAGGATGCAGGACACAGTAGTGGACATTCACAACACACCCTGACACCCACCTGCCTATCTTCTTTTCATCCACTCACTTTTCCCCACCTCCGATCTCCTTTTTCTCTTCCTTTTATTTATCTTTTCTTCAACCTCTCTTTCTCTCTTCCAGACCATCCCCCCCCACTCCCACACCTCTTTTTTATTTCTCCTTCTCCTTCTCTCCATTCTACCCCCTCTGACCACATCACTTTCTCCATGTTGCCGGGCACTGGTAGCAGTCTATGAGTCATGAAGGCTAGAAATAATAAAACTAATTCATTTCTTTTACAACTGACCACTGCAACAACAACAACAACAACAAGAAAGGCAAGGACATCAGTGATAAGTAAGGGTGGTGAGAAGATGTCTTGAAAGTGGTGGGAGTGGCAGTGGGAGTGAAAGAGAAAAATAGGGAGAGGACAAAAAGAGAGAAAGAGAGGTCCAGGAAGAAAGAACAAGAAATCTGTCTAAAAACTGAGAGAGATGAAGAGAAATGGACAGAAGGTTGGGAAGGATGTAGTGGTCAGGCCGAGTGGACAGGAGAGGTAGTTTTGCAGAAATAGGCATTGGGTGGAGGTGACGGGTAGTTATTGGTGCTGGTGTGGCAAGGATGGACAAGAGAATGTATGGAAAGACGAAGAAGAAGATGATGATAAAGAAGAAGAAAGTGGTAAAAGTGGTAGACAGACAGACAGACAAACTGACAGGCAGGTCCAGCAGTGGCTGTAGTCCTAAGCTGCTTTGCAACACCACTCTGTATTTATCTGCTGCTGTTGGAATGATTGACCACTCAGTTGAAATTTTATCAGTTGGTATAAAGAAGAGGGGAGGGGTAGGAGATGGGAGGGAGGGAGGGAGGGGAAGGAGAAAGAAGGAATGTAAAGAAGAAAGAGGAAAGACTGACATGGTTATTATCATCAACATCATTATCAGTGACATCAGATGAAATGGCAAGGTGCTCTGTTGGTGTCCAGGAAAGAAAAAGAATTTCTCGAAGAGAGTGTTTGAAGCAAAGGTAAGAAGATGTGGTAGTGATGACGGTGGCTGGGTTGTAGGAAGGGTTGGCAGGGGAAGACAACATTGCAGAAAGACACTTTTACCTAATAATCTCCCCCACCCCTGTACCCAACCTTTTCCACACCTGCATCTTAATTCATGAGGCCAGATTCTTCTTCTTCTTTTCTTCAGTCGCTTCTTTTACTTTTTGATTTAGCGTTTCTTTCCCCTTCTCTCTTTCACTTTACATCACCATTTTTTCTCACTTTTTTCCTTTTCTTTCTATCATTCCAAGATGTCTCTTTCACTTTCTCTATTTCCATCTCTCAGTTTCTTTTCTCCTCTTTCTTTTATTTCATCCCCTTTTCCTTTTTTTTACAATGTTTTTTCTTCTCTTTGCAAAATTACATTCTCTTTATCTCTTTCCTTCTCTCTCTCTCTTGATTTCTCTTTCTCTTATTAAACGTCTTTGACCCTCTTTTAATCTCTCTTTTTTACTTCTCATTGCCTGATTATATTCCCTTCTCTCTCTCTCTCTCTCGACTTCTATTTCTCTTATGACATTCTCTTCACCCTTCACTAACCTGTTTCTTTCTCTTTCTTTCTTTTTCTCTCTCTCATTTCCTCTTTTTCATATCACTTTCTCCCTTTGCTTCTCTTTCTCTAGTTTTATCTCTTCTCTCATTTGTGCTCTCTCTTTCCTCTCTCTGTTTTCTTACAACTCTGTACTGGCCTGCACAGCTATGGCCTGACTTTGCTTGGCCACTGCTTTCTTTTTCAGCTTCCTCTTCTTTCTGGCCTTGCGCAATCTCCCATCTACGACTTTAATGACCATCTGGCATACTTTAGTTTTGGTAAAGCAGAGCTGCTGCTGCTAATGATGATGAGGATGATAATGATTGTCACTATCATCATCATTATCACTCTGATGACAGTAGCTATTCTCAAGATGCTGATGATAATTACTGACCCGAGTTTAATAAGGATAATGATGATGATACTTGTTTTTATGAGGTGTAAGAATTATTATTTCAGTGATGAAGATTATCATTCTAATCAGGATGAGAGTGAAAATACTGGCTATGATTATAGTGGTGATGACGATATTGGTCAGGGTTGTCCTCAGGTAGATCATGATGATAATTGTCAGAGCAGTCTTAGGTAGATGATGATAATAAATAAAGGTGATAGTAATTAAAAAAGGACAGGTTGTAATGTTGGCCAATATTTATAAAATATAGTTTTTTATGATTATGAATTTAATTGCAATAATGCTAAGATTGATAATAATAATAATATGTGGATAATAATGATGCTTATAGTGATAATGTTGGTAATTATGATTATAACAGAGACTAATAATAATGATGATTATAGAAAGCCTTAAATTGATCCTACAATTATACTTATGATGACAATGATAATACTGATAACAGCAGTAATCAAACTGTAGATGATGATGATGATGGTGGTGGTGGTGGTGTGGCCAGTATACAACTGACCAGACGCACAGAAGGCCTTGTTCAATTCATTAGTGCTTTCCTCTTTATTGTCCACTACTCACTGACCATAGGCATATAAACACGCACGCCCACACACAGACACATGCAAGCACAGAAACAGATACATACGGATACATATGGATATCTTGGACTACATCCACAGAAATGGTTGCCGTGTCACTTACGCAAAAACAAAAAAACGACAACACACATGTGCTAATGTTGACATACTCGGTCATTCAGGCACATAGACACACAGGATATATGCTCACTCATTGACAGATGTTAACTATTAGATCTTCTGTAGTCTGCATTGATGACCTTTTCTAACTTCTAACGCTTACTTTAGATTCAGCTACTTCTTCATCTGCGAGCAAATAGTCTTGTCATAAGAAACAGGAATGCATAATATTAATACGACAACTGTTTATATGATTAATAATAACAATAGTAATAATAAGAAGACTGTGAAGAACTAACATAATAGCTTTAAATCATAATAATAATAATTATAATAATGATGTTGGTGGTGGCATTAAAGGTGATTGGAGTAAATTTTAAAGATTATTACTGTCAGTACACTAATATTATTTTTTCCTAATGTTGTAAATATGTTCATTATTATTATTATTATTATTATTATTTCTATTAGCTTTAATTTAGCAGGTATTTTGAAGATAAACTTTTTTATCATTATGCATAAGTTATAATTTATTAAAAAATATGACAAGTATCAAGAAAAGGCTTACAGCCACATTACGTTGAAACAGTGTTTCCTGTACAATCACCAAAGTTAAGCAATGTCAAGAGTAGTCAGTACCTATATTGGGAATACCAGGTATGATAAGATTAGATGTGTGGTTAGTATAATGAAATTATTTCTATTACCTTTAATTTGATAGATATTTTGAAGAAAAACATTTTTTATAATTATTATTATATTTACAATTTATTAAAAAAATGAAACAAAGTTGAGCGTGGTCAGTACCAATGTGGGTGATTGCTTGGGAATACCAGGTGCTGTAAGCTTGGATGTGTGGGTGGTATAACGGAATTATTTCTATCACCTTTAATTTAGCAGGTATTTTGAAAATAAACTTTTTTATGAATAAGTTATAATTTATTAAAAAATATGACAAGACTTATGGCCACATCATGTTGAAACACACCATTTCCTGTATGAGCACTGAAGTTAAGCAATGTCAAGCCTGGTCAGTACCTAGATGAATGACCACTTGGGAAAATGAGGTGCTGTAAGCTTGGATGTGCAGGTAGTGTAATGGATTGGAATTGTTAATCAGAGAGCCATATTCCAATTCCTGTTGGGTTCATCATATTCACTTATGCACAAATATCCTTCAAAAAGAGATGAATCCACCTCATTTTCCCCCAGCTATGGATGAATATTTTTTCTTCTATTTTTTTTAAAGTAAGGTTCACCCTTTACAAGGCCTGTAGAACACTCAAGATAGATGGTTACATTAGGAGGTAATTTGTGCAGATAGGAGTGGAAGATAATGGTTAACCCTAGCCTTAAAAATGTTAAGATTGCAGTGACTGGGGAAACCTCCCCTTGGGAGTTGATTCCACAGTGAAGTGGTTCACGGGAAGAAGCTGTTTGTAAGACATGTATCACTAATCTATTTTTATCTGCAAAAAATAATTCTTACAATCTAAAAATATTTTCTGGCTTTAAATAACCCACAAAGGGTTGATAAACCATAAAAAAAACAAATCAAAAGAACCAGGTCTACTCTTCTTATTAGTTTCTTTACTTCTCGTGCTCTTAGATTTTATTCCATTGCCTGTTGTTATAACTATAATTTTTCTCATACTACATGACTGATTTTATTTTGTTAATATCTAAATAATACCAAAACTTCAACAGTCTTTTCAATAGAAAATGATGATATTATTATTATTATTGGTAAAAATATAATATCAAATCTTTTGATATGATTGCAGTCAAGTGACAACAAGTATTCTTAGTCTCTAATCAGTCAGTTATGTGCCATGTATGATACATGCTTAGGTGATCATGTATCTTTCAATACATGACTGACAAGGTAGATTTTTTTCTGCAGTAGGTTGCGATTTCTTTCTGCAGTAGACCAGTTGCCATCCAAGGCTATAGAACCTGGTCTGTCCTGCTATTTACCCATAGCTGGGGGAGAAGAAGAGGATTCATACCTTTCCCAAGGGTATCAGTACGTAAGTGAATGTAATGGATTCTACTGGAATTTGAACTCAGCTCTCCAATTCCTCAATCTGACCTGCTATTCAACATGCCACCGTAATGAATATGAGTTTATTCGATTATAACAACTAAAAAGCATTTATGATAATACTGAAAATAGTCACAATAACAATCTAATGCCGGTTACCTTAATGACATTAATGCATCTAGTATTGAAAAGAATATTGTTTAAATGCTGGATTGCTGAGGAGAGTTACCGACCCTTCATCTCCAGCTTGAGCCACCAGCACCATTGGTGTAAAATCTCAAGGTAAGAAAAAAAACCAAAAAAACAACAATAATAATAAAAAAAATGTTGCAGAACAGTAACTCCAATAATTAGCTAAAATCAAAAACAATAACAAAAAATAAAAAATGAAAAAGACATTGATAAAAATTATTAGCAAGAGGAACTGGAATTAAAATTAAGACAAAAAAATCAATAATATGGATAGAAAATAATAATTCTGAAAGTAAAAAGACAGAAAAGTATTTCAGCCTTGTTAAAGAACTGAAAAAATTATAGAATATAAAGGTGACAGTTGCACCAGTCATTATGAGAGCACTGGGAATAGCTCTGAAGCATCAAGGAAAAAGACTGGAGGAACTGGAAATCATGTATGTTGATATCAGCAATACTGAAAACAGCTAGAATACTAAAATGAGAGCTGGAGTACTGAAAGGACTTGCTATCACTTAATCTCCTGTGTAAGCCACAAGTTATTACTGGTGTGAAGATGCAATGAATAATAAGAATAAGATTAACAAGATACCCATTTTCCCCTGTTTACAAGATTTGTCCTATGTGAAACTGCCTATCTACACAGGAGGATATTATCAATGTAAAAAGTATAGAAACATTCTACATGTTAAGTATCACTTAGTATCAGAATACAAAATATCATGTCTTACTCTAGGTTTCAGGTATTGACCTGAGAAGGAGTAGTGGTGGAGGGAAAACGAAAAAGATGATGATGATTATGATGACAATGATGATGATGCACAAATAAAAGTGATAGTTGTCAGAATAAAAATTTTAATGACAAGCAGTGAAAAGCTATCAAAAGTAAACATAAAAGCAATACTGGTTGTGCACTCTATTTGAATTCTAAAGAACAATTTCTCAATACAAAATTATTAAATAGAGTCAGTGAAAGGCCAGTAAAATCACCTTTAAAGAATATGAAAATTAATTTTTGTGTCTCAATAAATGCAGGGTGCGATTGATAAAGTGTCGTCTAAATTATGCAAAAATGAACACTGACATCTCATTTTAACACATATACAGTGTAACCTGGATATAAGAGAGATTTTTTCTGGTCCCAAATTAGAGCCTGTGTTAATATATATAAAATAGACCAAGCCCAGATATAAGAGACTTCTTCTCCGGTCCCGACAACTCTCTTCTATCCAGGTTACACTGTATTAATCAAAATTACATAAAAATATTTTAAAATACGAAAGAGAAAATTTATTCTATAAAAATCGCCATTGGCTTCAACTGACTTCTGAATCTCCTGCAACTCTTCTGGACAGTCTCCTCATGTAAGTTGGTGAATGCTGCCATAAACCTTGCCTTCAGTTCATCTTCGGTGTTACAAAAAGTTTTGTCAGTTACTTGCTTAACTGCACCCCATACATAATAGTCAAGGGGATTGTAGTCTGGGGAGTTAGGTTGCCAGATGTAAGGGGTGATGTGGTCATAGAAATTGTCTGACAGTCATGACGAGGTTCTCCTGCTTGTGTGGCATAGTGTAGAGTCCTGACATAGGATCTTCCAGCAGCCACCCTATTGACCCAGGGCAGCACTACCTCTGCAAGGCACTTGATGTAGGCCTCCATGTTGAGTCTGAGGTCCTCACCAACAAATTTCAGGAGTTCTTTTCTTATAAGAACAATCAGAGTGAGTTTTCAAAGCTGCCATGCCTTCATAATCACCATTAAACTCATCCAACTCTTTCTGAATCCTCTGCACTGTCCTCAGATTGACACCCAAACACTAAAATGTTTGTATTGGAGCTTCTAGTGCAAATGCCAAGCAGTACAGCATGCCATTTTTCAAATTTTTAGAATAACGAATGTCATGGTGCTCTTTTTCTCACAGTGCCCAACTGACCCTACTATACTGTACCGTGGACAAAATCAAAAACAAACAATGCACATGTCCAAAATTAAAAATATAAATGCCAGCAATTTACCCATCACGTCCTGTATGTATAAGCAAGAAGAGCGAAAACCATGTTACAATCCTGGTTTTGACAAACAACTGTAATGTGAAAAAAAGTTATTTCCAATAATGTCTGGCCTCAAGACAAAATGTTCAAAGTGGTTTACAGAGGGGAAAAAACAATTTGAAAATGACATAAGCTATGCAAGACACAATATGGGTCAATGGGAGAAAAAATATTTAGAAAAGTGATGGAGTTTGAAGTAGACATACTGTCATTTGGCCATCATTAATGTAAACAAAAACTGTTTGGATTAAGAGATACACAGTTAAACTAAAAATATTAATAATAATAATAACTTTAACAATAAAAACAGTTGTTATGAAATAATTATACTTCTGAAAAGGAGAATATCATTGTGAAAGATGTTATTGTGCTTTGGTAATTTGATTTTATTTGACTTTTGACTTTATATACAAAATCTACCAAAGATGAGTTGTTAGGTATGAATGTTGAAGCAAAAAAGTAAAAAAAAGGAGAAATGATGATGAGAATAATAAGATTGATTGATTGATTTGTTTTTTACAGTTTATCAACCTTTTGCAGGTTATTGAAAGCTAGAAGATATTTTTGATTGTAAGAATTTTTGTTTAAGAGATATTAATGATTTACTGATACAATTTCTATTAATTAACCCATAGCTGGGGGAAAGAGGTAGATTCATGTTTTTTCCAAGGGTATTTGTGAATAAGTGAATATAATGAACCAGACTGGAATTTCCAGTCTTTGCTTTACAATTCCGAGCCATTATCATCACCCGCATATTCAAACTTAAAGCACCTGGTATTCTGAAGCAGTGACTCTTCTAGGTACTGACCAGGCTCAACATTGCTTAATTTCAGTGATTGTATGAGAACCTGTGCTTCAATGAAAGCCAAGAAGAAAATGGTATTCACCACAAATGATCATGACAAATACCAAAGAGCATTTGAATGAGATTCCATAAAAAATGATGAAATGAAGGACCCAATAATAAGGAAGGATAAGAAAAATATTAGAAACCAATCTAAATGGTATAATTCGAATCAAAGGCAGTATCAATAATGAGCTACTCAGGATACTTCCTAAGCTAGACAAGGGAGGAATTTCAATTGATGGGTTGATCAGTTAAGAAGTTAATATACAAGTCTCACTACTCTTAGAGATAAATACTGATGGACTGTATGTAATAAGAAATAAAGAAAATGGACTCAGTAAATGTTGTGATGAGATAACCCAACTTCCCCATTCACGATAATGGACGGTCTGGTGGCCGATAAAGTACGACCACAGGAAACAGTAAGGAGAGCGACAAAAAGAAGGTCTTCGTTTACTAATTGCGGTTAGCTTACTCCTGACTCTGACTCTGTATTTTGACATACCTACATCCGATTATAAAATTATTATTGAAAACCACACTCGGGTTTACTTTGTTTATTATATCTTGTACGAGATATAACAGTAAGGATTAGTGTTTATATGGTTTAAGTGGAATTTGCAAAATATGCACAAAAGTAGTGGGCAAGAAACAGGAAAACTACATATAAATAAATATAGCAAATAAGAAAAGGGTAACAAGAGATGAGGAACTGCTGCATTGTGTAATGGACTCCCAAGAAGATGCTTACCCAATCACTACAATCTTAACCTCTTCAAGTCTAGGGCCAACTGATATCTATCCTACATATTTTCATAATCTACACCTCTTTCTCCCTCACCACTGTATACACTTAAAACAACTTCATTTAGTAACGCTCTAGCTTGAGAGGCTCTTTGTAGTAAGTGAAAAATGATAGTAAAAAATAGAATAAAACA